CCGTCGCCGCCGCTGGCCCACGTCTCGGCAGCGTTGTTGTATGCGCCGCTGCCGCGTCCCTTTAGAAAGGAGAAGACCGGCGCTGTGTGCGAGTACTTCTGCCAGCACTCGTTGAGGAATCCGTTGACGTAGCCGGCAGCCATCACGCACGCAGGCGTGAGCAGCTCCCTTCTCTCCTTCTTGTTGTTGTGGTTGTCCCGACCGCCCTTGGCCTTCATGGCGTCCTCATCCTCCGCTGCTTTCAGGTAAACTGCACACACACACAACACACACAACAACAACAACACACACACCATCACAGGGCGTTAGTTTCGGAAGGGACGCGACGAGCAGCTCGGCACGATCTACACATACCTGAAGCTTCCATCGAGTTCTCCATGGTGAAGAGACTGTAGAGGCTCGGTAACGGGGCGAACGAGCAGCTGAGGGTCGAGTAGTCGAACTTGACGCTGCCCCAGCCCGTGTAGGCCATCACCGTCGGCAGGCCGAACAGCAGCAGGTCGGAGAACATCGACGGCGGGCAGTTGGCGCCGCTGCGCCCCGAGCCTCCGCCGCCGCCGGAGCCGGCCGACGACGAAGTGCCGGCCGACGCGGAATAAAGCGAGGCGAGGTAGCTGATGTCGACGCTCTTCTCGCTCACGATCTTGTTGAGGAAGTTGCTGTGGTCGTTGCCGCCCATGGCCGACGCAAAGTCGAACAGGAAGTGGGTGGCGAAAGTCTCGGCGGCGCGGCGCAGCTCATCGCGCTCGCGCTGCTCGTCGCGTTCGCGCTCGGCCTCGTCGATGCCGCTGCCGGGCTTCAGGCCTCCGCCGCTGGAGCTGCGCCGCTTGGTCGTCGTCGCTTCCGCGCCTCGCTGCTCCTCGAGCGCCTTCTCCACGAGGTCCACGAATTCGAGCGAGATCGAGCTGCCGCGCACGAAGATGTGTCGCTCGTTGTTGAGCCGCACCTCGCCTCGCGTCGGATCGCACGATATCTCCTGGAACAGCTTGGAGAACTCGCGGCCCACCTTGTGCTGCACGCTCCGGAGCTGTTTCAGCTGGTCCGGCGAAAGGCCGATCCTGGACCGCGCCTCCTCGTCCTGTGCCGCGAAGCCGAGCGAGTCGCTGCTCACCGAGATCTGCTGCTTCTTGGGGTTGGCCGGCTCTCCGCTCAGCAGTGTACTCTTTCCTGCGCCGCGCCACCGACACGACACACAACGCACACGACACATGCGACACACAGCACGTGGGCGATCAAGTTGATGATGAGTGGACGAAGAGCCAGAATGGAGCCAGGAGAGGCCTAACCTTTGATGGACAGCTTTCGCCTGAGCTTGGTGGCAGCCGTGTCGGCGGTCAAACTTCGGGGCACGGCCGGAAGGTACGTCTGCGCAGTCGACACAAATTAACACCAGGCACCAGTAGACACCGACAGGCCGGCGTGCACCGTCTGGCTTACCTGGGTAGTCGACAAGAACTGGGGAATGTACAGTGCCTCCCTGTGCCCCTGGGCCAGGTGCTTGTTCTCGGCGAAAAATCTGTGTGGCACACAACGAGACAAGAGGAGTGTGTGAGCGATTCCCGCTTGGTTCCACCCGGCATCACGTGACATAGTGCGCACCGAGCGATGTGATCGTGTATCTTGTTCTCGGTGGCCAGCACGAACAAGCACCGCTCGTCGCCTGACGTAACAACAACATGTTTAGTATGCAATTAGAAGTATCATTCTCATTATGGGAGGAGGGCTCACCTTTAGCTTTACACAACAACTCGACGGCGAGCAGCTCCGATGGGAAATGGAAACAGGAGGAGACCCATCCGCTGCTGTAGCCAGCGCCGAGGATGCACACTGGACCCTTGGGCATACTCTCGAGTATCTGTTGTTGTGTCGTCAGCAGGAGAAATAGAACGCGCGCGCGCGAGAGGTGGGAGTGCATGTACGCTGTTGCTCTTCGTTGACATCCAGGAGTCGGCCTCGAAGGAACAAATGTGATCGGAGTAGAGGAAGAACGAATCTCCTGCCTCGGGTCTGTAAAGTGGATTGATGCCACGATCAGACCACAGCCGCTCGGCCCGAAACAGGGAGGGGCATTGGGATCTAATCTCCAACTACACGTACCTGGCCTGCAATATCTCGATGAAGGCCCACCCGGTGTATGAGAAATAGATTGGGCCGGCCAGCATCGTGTCCACACCTACCAACGACAGATGTAGGTGTTAGGCGGCAAGGCAGGAACCATGGTAAGTATGTGACGACGACAATGAAGATGATGATGATGGTACCGTTGGGACACGAGGATTTCTTCTGGAGGTTGACGGCGTCAGACTTGCCGAGCGCGTGGCCAAAGTCGAAAAGGAACTGGAAGGCGAAATCCTTGCCCTTGTCCGCGAACTTGTCCTTCACCACCTGGAAGAACTCTGCCGAAAGTGCCGAGGCCCTAGGGTGGTCGTGCGCGCAAGCAAAAGATGAGTGTCTCTCGCACGTCTATAGGTGATACAAACAGTGGAGAAGTGGCCAAGGAAGGGTTACGTACCTAAACAGGAGATACCGCTCGCCGCACACTTCGATGGTGCCCTTCTTAGCCGACTGTGCTCGATCGATGAGTAAAGCTCAGACATTACACAATGTTAACTATAGAGCGAAAGGAACGAACCTGATAACACTGAGCAAAGTATCGGTCGACGAGAGTCTCGGCCTTGGCCATCTGGTCCATGAGCTCCTCAGGTCCCTGCCCACCACACCCACCATGTCAGTGTCACGGCTCTATACCCACACATGCAACAAAGTTTGATCGTGTGAACCTGGCATCGCGGGGCGTCGTGGCCATCTTTGTGTCGTCGTGAGTGGCGCCGTGAGGACTTCTTTTCATCTGGTGTGGTACACGTTAGGATCCACCAAAGATGAAAGCTATCAAGAAACAGAGCAAACCTTTGTGGGATCGCCTCTCTGAGCTCTGCCGGCGCTCCTTGTCTCGAGAAGAAGGCTCTCGGTCTCGTTCTCGGTCGCGATCGCGTGCCTCACGGTCTCGGTCCCTCTCTGCCTTGTCTTTTTCTCGGTTCCGATCTCCTCCTCGCTCACGAGACTCTCGGCTCAGGCTCGATGGAGCGGCGCCCCTGGGCGAAGTGGTAGTGCCAGCATCGCGGGGCGAAGATGTCGACGATCGCCGCTCCTCGCCGACGGGCAGGGCTTCTTCCATTCGCCCCACCGACGCCCGACGCTCCCTCCTCTCGCGCTCTCGCTCTCTGTCCGCCCGGGTCCTCTTCTCATTGTCGCGGATTCCCGACCCCGACCGCACTCTGCTCGAGGTTATGGGCTGGGAGTCGGAGTCCGCCTCGGAGTCCAACGAATCTTGGCTGTCACACCGCGAGGGGTGCTCGTCCAGGTCGCTCGATTGTCTCCTACGACGCAATACACGGTGAGTGTGAGATCATTTTAAACACTTTTAGAACGTTCAAGGTGGCGACCACACACCCTTGCGTCCTCCTGATCTCCTCTTTGGTGGTCCGCACCGCGGGCGGCATAGAAGTGGAGCGCGGAGAGTTGGGCGGTCGCCGGCCTTGGAGGGGAGAGTTGTTGTTGCTTGTGTTAGGGGTGGCAGTTGGCTTGGCCTTGGTGAGGGAAATCGCGGGCACGGTGGTGGTGGACAGACTGGGAGAAGAAGCTAGAGAAGGGTCGGAGGACGAAGAGTGCAGTGTGCCCTGGGCCGCTGCGAGTGGAGGCGGCAGGGGCACATTAATGGGTATGGCCAGAGGAATCGAGAGGGGCGAGTAAGAGGACGATGATGGCGATGGGAGAGGCTGGGAGTAGGAATCCGTGTCATCATCCTGGAATGGCAATAGAGAGCGTCAGCCAGCTGGATGCGTTCGCGAGCACTGGAAGAAATAGGAAAGAAAGAAAAACGCACCGAGTGAGTGTTGTTGCTTTCACTCTCTGTCTCGTTGAACGACGGGGTGATGTCCGAGATAGGTGTGTGCCCCAATCTGAACGAAGAAAAGGCGCGTCAGCAAAAGGCCTTCCTGCTAGTGAGGGACCAAACGTACTTCTTCATACTCCACAGGCTGGGCTCGGCCTTGAGTGACAGCATGTAAAGATCGTCCTGCGCGGTTGTGGTGAGATCAATGCACGTTCGTTCATCTATTTGAGAGGAAACCGAGGTAAGAAGGTCACGCACCTCATTGTGAGAATCATAGATCGACAAAGCCAGCAGTTTCTGCTGTATTCGCTCGTCTTCGGCGATGGAGTAGTTCAAGCTCTGGTATCGAGTGATGTCTTGCGTTCGCTCGTAAAGCAGGCTGATGAGATCAAAATTGATCGAGTGGTCCGCCAAGTAGGTCTGGTTGCCGTCATAGATGAATGTGAAGTCGCGCAAATACAATCCTGCATTCACACATGACGATGAGCAAAGACAAAAATCATTGCCGGCATAGCCTTCATACCGAAGTAGGGGAAAGCGGGAAGAGGCCTCGAGTTGAGCTCCTGTCGGTACTGCCTGAAGTTCTGCTTGGTGCCCATCATGGCCTCCAGCTCGGAAAACTTCGTTTCGTACTTGGTGGACAAGTTCTGCCGGTCGATGAAGAGCAAGAGTGAGCACTCAAAAGTGCAACGCAGAAAGCAGTGGCGGCATACCTCCCACAAGTTCTTGAGTCGCTGCACTGAAGAGTTGTTCAGCCCCGACAGGATCTCCATAAAGGAATTGAAGTTGCTCAATGCAAGGCATTCTAGTGCACGTTCAAAGAAGGGCCGGGTTAGTTCCTTGACCGCTGTTGTGTGGGGTATGGAGGCCGTACCAGCCGCGACCTGTATGAATTTCTTTACAATCTTCAACTGTTCTTTGAGGCTTTTGGCTTGAACAATCTCGGTGGCCACCCAATAGCCAACCTGCAGGTAGTTGTACAATCAAGAATAATTCAATACAATCCCTTGCGCTCGCAACGAGCAAACGCTGTTCGTACCCTATTGAATTGCTCGATCATGGCGGTGACGTTGGGCGCGACAGTGCTCTTGCTGTCCTTCTTCCACCGCTGATTGAGGAACTCGTCAGCCGTGATTTGCCGGAAGATGTTGAATTCGAAGGTCGTCAACTGTGCAGCCAGAGTAGCAGCAGGAAGCTGAAGGAGCTCAAATTCCTGTGCCAGTTGCGTCTGCACGAGAAGTGAGAAGTCGAGCACTATCGTGAACCAAGAAGGAAGAGTGTACTCACCTTGCCTCGCCCTGTCAACAATGAATCCATGTCGACAGCGGGGAAGGCTGAGCTTATGGCAGATCCAAAAGAAGGAACCTTCATTGCTCTCTCGAAGGCTATGAGTGCTTCTTCGACTTGACGGGGTGATCCCAACTTGGGCTTGGCGCTGTGGTTTTGCGTCAGACATCAGAGCTGCCAGTGATAATCATGAGCGGCCCGAGAGATATGTACCGCTTCCTTGCACGCTGCCGCCCCCGCATGCGCACGTACAGTAGCTTGAATTCATTCGCAACGTCCGATCCAACCTGGAAGTGAGGGATGAGGAACAGAGAATGCACTTCACTCCGGGTTGGTGCACGTGGTACCCGCTCTTGTATAACTCGGAACAGCTGCAACAGCTCTGACCGTTTAAAAGCCACTTGGTGCTTGTCAAGCCATTCCCTGAGGAAGGTGAGCATCCTGTTCAACTCGTGGTCAGTGTCTGTCCCGTCAAGCTCACAAAAGGGTATTTCTATTGATTACGAACCTCTGCAGCGTGGTTCTTGCCCCCGTTTGTGGGAGCACGGTTGCCAGTGCGAGCGCAGAAGCTGTGCGATGTTCCTCCGCTTTCGTCCGTGGCGCGAGCACAAACTTACGAAATCGTTAAGGAAATTAAATGAATTTGATTGTGATTGATTGTGATGAAAATTGCTTGAATTGCTCATTGATGATAAATTGGGAGGGAAGGGAGAAGAGGATATTCGTCAATCCATGTGCGGAGCAGAAGCGAAGGCGCCACATCCAATACGCGATAGTTCTGCAAGAACGCTCGCACATGACCTGGCCACAAAGAGTGAGCGGGAAAAGCTCGGGAGGCGCTATTTGTTGGGGACAGGTAAGGGACAGAGAGCGCAACGCACGAAGCTCGTCTTCCTCTTGCATGAGGCGCTTGGCCAGAGCGTGGAAGCTCTTCCTCCTCACATCTTCCACACTGATTACCTCCATACGTGCGTGACGCCAGTGGCCACCACAATACAATCGTTAGAAGATCTCGAGCGCCCTATTTACCCTCTCTTGCTGTCCGCTTCCATCCGTTGCGCGGAGAGCCGTGGCCTTTACCACAAAAGGGAGAGGCCAGCCGATCTTCAGCCCAAAAACGTATTTCGCCTTTTCGAGTAGTACATCAAGTGAAGAAGAAGAACTCGGTTGTGTTCCTGTTTGTTTGTTTGTTTGTTTGATGGTGGCTATCGATCTGCTCTATTTCGCTCTCTGAGGCACGGAGAGACATTTACATCACACACAGAGGGCAAAGGACAGGGCAAGAGCAACTCGGTCGTACTGTGGTGGGTGCTAGCTAGAGCCACTTGGGCGGGTTCTCGGGGATGCCGACCAGGTCGGTATCAAAGAGCTCGATGAACTGCTCGTTCAGAAGACGGACCTATACACCAACGACGAGGAAGGATCATCAGGGGTCAGCGACCAATGCTCACTGCTAGCGACACGCGCTCTATGGGGCTGGCCACGTCCTAGGCGTAGGGTGCGCACCTTGGAGCCGGCGTGCCTTCGGTACTCCTCGAAGATGGAGGTGAGGTTCCATCGCTGCAGCTTCCTCATGCAGCCGATCACAGTTCCTTCAGAAGACATACAGCCACTCGTTGAGTGCAACCGGTTGAAGAACAAGGAAGCACGAATGAGCTCACGAGGGACCCTACCTGACCGATGCCGACCCAGGTTGCACATGACCGACAGAGGGTAGTTATTAGGGTCGAGGATGAGCTTCAATGCCGATACGACCGTGTCCTGCATGTGTCAACGACAAGACGATAAGCTCCTACGACGAATGCACTACAACCAAGGGCCTGCGGTTATTGAGTACATGCCGGCCACGTACCTCCGAGATGGGATTCCAGGGGTTGGAGATTCGCAGTTGCGAGTCCATCCCAAGATGGATCAACTCGATACCTTGATCATCCACAAAATTATAGCTGCATAATGATTAACACCCTCGCCTGGTTGAGATAGAGTTTTGTGGGTGGAGAAACAGTACAATTGCTGGGTGGGATCGTCGGGGGCGAGCCAGATTATAGTCTTGAGATTAAGTCGCTCGAGGAACGGAAAGTTGAGCACATTGGGCTGCCCCGACCTGTACAGGTCCTCTTCCACCATACCCCAATTGATGGGAGGAATGTAGTGTGCCATCTCGTGCTCTTCTTGCCCTACGTTGGTTTAAAATAAAATAAAAATAAAAATATCTCATTTATTTAGCGAAGAGCTTGTGGAGTTCGTTCTTGAAGAGGTACTCCGACACGGCTGGGCCAGTCAAGTCTTCCACACTCTCGGAGGCAGCAAGCCTAAGTGCAGAGATGACCAAGGGTAAGCGCATGATTACGAGATGCCACATGATCAACAGGATCCTGCACCTCTTTCGGATGGCAGTGGAGCTGAGGTCTTCCATCTGCATCTCTACGTAATAGCACTTGCCCTCGGTACGCGGAAGCTTTGCTATGCGAGCTGTGTAGCCAGGCCTGCGTGGAGTGCGATTGCATGATGAGCGACCGAAGAGGGCAGCCTTTCACGAAAAAGCAAGCGTACCTCGCCACGGCCACCACAGGAATGGTGCTTGAGACGCCGTGGAGCAACCCACAATTGATTGCGTGATCGGCGCCACAGAGATACATGACTACGATGCCGGGCGCTTCGTGGCGCAACTCGTCCCTGAGCGATCAGAGAAGGTGAGACGCAGATGAGAGGAGGCCAGACGTCACACATGAAAGGAGACGTACTTGATGAAGGTCGCGTGTGCGTGAGCCACTTCAGGGAAGTCCAAGAACCTTGACTGCCGTGACTCCCATTCACTCACTTCAAGCCAGGTAGAGTCCCTGCACCGATAGCCCGTGAGTGATTAGCCGTCAGGAACCTGCAAGATGGAGAGGGACGGGGAAACGTCGTACTGCAAGCCGAGTCTGCACATGGCCACGCGATGAGCGATAGTGATGTGCGCTGCACCTTGCCTCCTCATCTGCACATAACACAATGAATGGTGTGAGGCTGACGCAATGTCTGAGGCAAGTCTTCACGAGCTTACCTTGCTGCCCACGTATTGGTCGTGCGAGGGCGACATGTAGCCCGCTACGACAGCAAAGCCATGGCGCTCCTCCAGCCTAGACCCACGTCAACCAGAAGCGCGTTAACGACAGGCACCCAGCGCGAGACACACAGGCCACTGGGCTGTACCAACGCTTGGCTGTTTCAAACACCTCGACGTGCATGCGGTGTACTGGCGCATACGACCTGTGCAGGTTCGCTCTCTGTGAGCCCCCATGCCTGCAGGCAGAGGCTCTTATTGGGGGGGGGCAGTACCCTGTGGACAGGAGCACTACTGGCACCTTGCCTTCTGGTACATGCGCCAGGTTTGCTTTCAACTTGTCCAGCGGAATTGTGGTCGTCTCCGTCTTCTTCTTCAACAGGGCATGCCGCATGTTCTGGTTGTGTGGTTTGAACCAGCACAAGGCGTTTCACCTCCTTGAGGCCGTTCGGGCGCAGTCGGTGAAAATAATTATTGACAATATTTTTATTTGTTTTGTCTACTTCGAGGCGTGAACGTCGTGGACGATCTTGGCAACGTCGACGCGCTCCACAAAGGCATCGATCACCGCCTCGGCCCTCGCCTTCTCCTCGTCGCTGATGGCCAGGGTGACGGGCGTCTCGCGCTGGCAGGCTCCCTTTTCTTCAGTGAGGCAACGCGCAGGGCGGAGTGAGAGCGAGTCATGAC